TACTTAATATTAAGCCACAATGATTTCTTTAAAAGATTTTTTTCTGTATTTTTCAATCTGTATAAGTTTACCATCAGCTATTTTATATATTTTGGAAGTTTGGACAATTATCTGTAACAAATCACTTCACAATCCATTCTACACTCTCTTCACAGTCAGAGCATTTTTTGTAAATTTTTAACTTTATTAAATTTCGAAAATTTATTAAAATTGTTGGCTATCATTCAAAACTACATAGGTTTTTGTAAAATCTTAGTAGATACTGAAAAGACAGAATAACAACCCGAAATCCTTAACTCAGCTGTTTGCTTCGATTTTGAACTAAAAATCGTCTAAAAATTTAATAGGTGGGGTCTAAGGTCAATTAAATAGAGAGGAGAAGCAATTAATTAATAAAGGAGAAGCAAGAAAGGAGAAGCAAGTAATTAATAAAGGAGAAGCAAGAAAGGAGAAGCAAGTAACTTTTATCACATTCTTACTTAATTTTAGGGCCTTGTATATGTCTTCGACTCTTACTACGGCTTTCGAATTCCGAATTTGTTTCCATATTGGTTTTCTGCTAATCCATATCCAGAATGGACATTATCTCTATTTATTTTTGTGACAAACTGTTCACTTCTAGGTGATAATTTGGGAACAGTTTGTGTAATGCTAAACCGATTTACAGCTATTGCATGGCCATTAAAGCATGAATCGGTAATTTAAATATCATCTATAATTATTAGTTTGTATACGTATGTCCCATTCATTTCCATTTTATGTACAAAACGATCAGTCAGCCCATATACAGGGTTACCAAAATGTCATGGGGCACGGTATTTATGACATAACTTCATCCAAATTAGTGATAATGGGATCAAAAGAGCTAGACGAAAACTCGCCTTATCCTGGTCTTTAACAATCAGAAACCCAAGGGAATCCTTGGTATGAGACAATAAGTCCTGAGAATTGAAGTAATGATCAATTATATGTATCATACCAAATTTTTATTTAAATTTATTTTAGATATGGAATAACATAATTTTGATTGTATGTTTAATATGTTTCGCATTACCTCTGAATGGTATAGGTCTACTGACAATAGAATTCACTTATTTGATACAAAGAGATGAAAAAAATGAAAGTATCGTTTCTATTGACGTTGTTGAAACGAAACAAGTAGATTTTATTAAACAAAACAATCTCGCTATATAAATTTTCAAAGAATCAACAATCCTACCCAATAATAAGTACTCTCTTTTTTAGCTTTTTTCTCATCTTTAGTGCTTTTTTTAGAATTTTAGAAGATAGGAAGCTATAAGACTGAAAAATTAGGTAATAATGGTCTATTGTAAACATTCGTGAGTAGGGTTGTTGGTCATGGAAGAGTTGGATATCATGAAACTAACCGTATTAACGACCGAGAAATACTCGTTTTTTGATTCGGAATGAACCGACCCGAATAATGAGTAGTAAGCAATTTAAATAAAATATTTAAAGGAAGGAAGACTAAATTTCTACATTCAACTAAGTACAATCGAATCAATTTTCTTTCTTATTGCTTTCATTATAATTAATTTAATGACTATTTCTGTTTATAAAAAGAGGCTAAATAGTCAAACTGGTGTAGTCATAGCTAATGGAAACAAATCTAATGATAAGATTGAGCGTAAATTAATGTTTTTTGCACTTTTGACTTCGTTTGGTCAAATGTTGATAGCAATTATTGTTGTGAGTATTTTCTAAATTATTATCACTTTAAAAATGGGGATGTTGTTTGATCATTACTTGTGCATTTGCCAAAGGGAAATAGCTGGCCCAATTAGCTTTGTTTTAAAAAATTATATGTATAAAGAGACGGGATTTCCAGAGCGCCAGTGTTTGGAAATTTCTAATTCTCAATTCTCGTACTTGTCTTGCTTTTGAAATTTTGAAATTTCACACTTATGAAAATTCTACACATGATGTGGGCCTGATTTAGAGTTCTACAGCGCGATTTAGGAGTTACCCATTCATTATTTCTGCAAGTGAAGACATAACAGTTCGTAAATGATTAAAACAATTTTTTTTAATTTTGAAGATTTATTGCGCAGAGAAATATAATGGATAACACCAAAATTTCTAGCACTAACTTTCTTCGAACATTATATGTATTTCAAAAAACTTCACTGTTATTTCAGTAAAGATTTATAAAGATCTGTTAAGGTTGCCCGTCCCAAATGAATGTTTCCAAGATTATTCGATCACATACATATAATCATATTTTTAACTGTAAATCCCTGTATATTTTTATTTAGATATGTATATATGCAGCTAACATTTGGAATTTGATTTCATTTAAGTCATTTCTTGGCAGTATCTACACAATTATTATGGATATCGGAATCGTTGTATTGCCAAGTTTTTTGTTACCTTGGGCCAGTAAATCATTTAGAATTAAATTTCTTCAAACAATACTTCCAAAAAAGATACATGAAAGAATTATTGGATCCATAACACAATCGTCGAAAATAATACAAAATTGTAACACAACAATTAAGGTTTTGCCGGCAAATTCGATAAAAATAAAATAGTAATTGTATGTATTATAAATAGGATTGCCGTTTTAGAATCGGGCCAACATTCGAGTCATTTTTTCGTGCCTCATTTTTATCAAATCGGGCCGTTCGAGTCTTTTTCGGTCCAAAATTCGATGACCGGTTCGAGCTATCGAACCGGGCCGGCAACCCTAATTAAATTAATCTTATTTTTCATTTTATAAATTGATAACTATTAATGTCTCATCATATTTTAATTTGAAGGAAATTAAGGTTAGAAATAATAAAATTCCTCCATATATTCAGAACATCTAAAAGGAATAAAGTTTTTAATTGAATAATCAAATGAGAAAAAGAAATCTACATAAGGAAATCAACACAAACTCAACATGGGAAATCAACACGAACTCAACATTTATTTCTATGTTGCCTCTCCATTAGTAGACTTTGTGGATCCAGGAGTTCATTTTTATTGTTTCACATTAATTTAATTGTGTTCGATAAAGAAAATCAAAAAATGTGTGGTTTTTTTCAGTTCTCTTTTAAATTTTGCACCTTTAATAATTATTCTTCTACTTGGTATTCATTCTATGTCCGTATCCCGAAATTCTCGGTTATCGGTTCCAATTACAGTTACCCGGAGATTTCCCAGGAAAAGCAACCCTTTTTGGAAAGAATGTGAATAATTTAAATTAATTCCAAGCTCTATAAAAATTAATACAATTTTATTTTAGTACATTTTTAAAAAATAAAATAAAATGAATTTAAAATTAAAGTTGTAATGAAAGTCTAGCATCAACATTAGTTGGTTTAACTTTAACTGATTTTGGAATGACAACGCTATTTGTTCCAGTCTTTTTCCAAAAACATAATCCATTTATTACTTTAATTCGAAAGCTTCTAAAAATAAAAGTTAAAATTTAATTATTTAAATAATTATTACGATAATGAAATGAAGTAAAGAATTGGATTTAATCCAAAGAAAATTATTTCGATAATTGTTATTAATCCGTAATAGTCGATCATACTCCATCCTGGTTCTGCACCTTAAATAAATTATTCTTATTTTTTAAAAATTTAATTTTTAAATGAAAAACTTATCAAAATATTATTAATGAAAAGATTATAGGAATATCCGCAGGGTTTATTTCCAGTTTTTGTAACATCTGATCGGCTTGATGTGTTATTATTGAATTTACTACCGTAGAATCAAATTAATTTTTATAAAGTATTACGAGTAGTGTTTCAGCGGAACCTGAAACACTACTCGTAAATAACTGGAACCGGATCCAATTTAAGTTCCGGTTCCTGGAACCAAAAAACACCGGAACTTTCCGAAACCGGACTTCTGGTGAAACTCTAATTACAAGTGTAGGCAAAGCTTTTGGAAATTTCGAAAGCTTAAAAAGCATAAATACTTTATTATAAAATCATCTTTAAGTTATCTTATCCAAAAGTAGATAAAAGATAAAAAAATACACAACATATCTTACCAGCCCTTAGATAATTTAAAAGTATACCTATCATTCCAAATGCTAATGGAAAAAGAAAGAGTACATATTGAATGAAAGACTGGATAAGAATTCTCATCTCTCGATTTCGTCTGTTCTGGCTAAGTGTACTGTTGCCGAATTGAGAGACTTTAGGAGCATTCTGGGAATTATTAAATAATTAATGATTTAAAGAGTTTTTAAGGTATAACAGGATATATATTTAAGGTATAACATGATATGATTTTTCCTTGATACAGATCCAGAATCTTTTCCAGGTTATTGACATAAATCCAGATCCAGAATTTTTGAAAATACCTATTTCTAATACATAATACATTATTTAAAAAAGGATCTGAATTAAAATATTTTCTGGAAGTCAGTTTATAAATAATTTTTTTCCGATATATTATTTATTTATAAATTGTCAAAGCATAATATCAATTATTTAGAACTTTTAGCCAAATACCTACATATATAGCAAAATCTTACAACTTTAATTAGCAAAACTATTCCACAATAAATGATAAAGCAACAAATAGTCGAAACTAGGTATAATTTGGACTCGAAATGATAAGCAAAGATTGAATATTCAAGTTCTTTATTATAACGGAAACAATTATTTTCTCCATCTAAATATAGACCACAATACGGCGATATAAACAATAATGTAATTGCAGCGAAGATTAATCCAAATATGGCAAAAAGGCACTAAAATAATTTTTTAAGTACGGAATTTTTTAGTAATGTATGTATGCCTTGCCTCTAATTAGTTAATGTTAATTAATAAATGTCACTTTCTTCTGGATGCCCGTGACATCCCAGGCTACTGTTATTTCTCTAAAAGGCAAGCGATCACTTTATATTTCAATACCTTCTCAAAGAACTGCTCTAATGGATAGGATTATTAGACTCAATAATAAAAATAGTATATTTTTATTAGGTCCATATTAGAGATTGGATTGAGATGGATTGAGATCTCATTTCCTCTCACCTATATTATAATATTTTCTAGTATTTTTAAAATTAAAATTTTCACCTTATAAAACATCAATTCCCAAGCAGATTCACTTATATTAACTTGCTTTAGAATATACAATTTCACCATTACAAAAAACCTATTTAAGGCCAAGGCCAAATTCATAATAAAAAGTACATCAAGAGCCGCTTCGTACAAGGCCCCGGTTATCTTTAATTATTAAATTAATTGTTTTATTGTCATTATTTTTTTATTGTCATTTTATCAAAAAAATTTATAATGAAATGATCATTAGATTTGGAGTGAATAAGGGGACTTATACCCCGCCTAATCCTCTAAAATTCCTCACAACATCAATGACAATAAGTATGTATGTTTCGGCAAAATGTGTATAGGCATGGTAATTAGGTATAATAGGTGTACTAACTCAGAAATGAGCCCGTCATCTTAAAAAGAATTTAAAAATTTTTTACTCTTTCAGACCAATAACCAAGAATTCCAATATATTTAAAAAATGGTATAACACCAGTTCCAACAATCAAATAAGCTTCAAAAACACCAATTACAAACATTAATTGATAGGAAATGACATTTCGGTATTCAGCATGTATCATAAAATGCTGGAAAAATTTAATTTTTCTATTAAATTTTTAAATCGACTAACAGGAAGAGTTACAGCTTGAACAGCTAATAAAATGATTGAAAGAGTTAATTCAATTATTCCATAAATACTGAATGAAGACATTTTTTTATTATCTAGGTGTTGTTAAAAAATTTTTCTTAATAGTTACAAACAAATTTAAAAAAGCTTTTAAATAATATCTTTATGTAAAAACTGTAGATAACACAACAGGGTGACAAAAAAGTAACCGGATACTTTTTTTTGGCATAACTTTATTCAACGTATAAGTAATGGGATCAAATAAAATTTATATGATAGAGAATTAAACAAGGAACAAATATAATAAAAAATTTTTAAGTATTTCTATCAAGGCTGAGCGAAATCTAAGAATAAAAAGCGGAATGCGAAACTTTTCGTGCTGAAAAATGTGAAATATGAAAAGATGCGAAACGCTAAATTCGAAATTAGCCCAGCCCTGATATCTATCTACCTAAAGCTCCGTCAACAGTGAGGTCTTTAAATAGTCTTAAAAAAGTTGGATCTAGACGAATTTAGTCTGATTCACCATAACTCGAAGAACAGAATTGACTCCAATAACATTTTACTATTAATTGTGGTACTGCGGTTGACTGAGAAATGTGAAAGAAAATGCTCGCAGAAATTTGTCTAATTCTGTGCAATACTTAATATTAAACTAAATTTAAAAACAAGTATTACGTTACTCGAAAACGCATGCAGGTGAACATAATAAAGTAAAAATAGATTTTATTATTTAAATAGAAAAAACAAAATTAAAGTTTTTGTATTAATTATGCCAATTTTATGCAGGTATTTTTTGTGTAAATTTTGTTATTTCCGCGTGTAAGCTATACTGAATTTATTTTTCAAGGTGTAAACAGTAATAAAATAAAAATTTTGGAAATAACACAGAAAAGATAATTTGCTGAAATTATTATTACATATTACCTAATAGATATTAAATGCTATTTTAGAGTTCTGAGAAGAAACACGCATATATGGAAACATATTAGCATTAAATTAAACTAGTTATTTACACAAAGTAAGAGAGGTAAAGGTTAAGCCTGATTAGAAATCTATACTGTGATTCTATGCACCATGACATGTGCTTATCCGACTGAAATACCGGCCTGGCAATGCTCCGTCTATTAAGGTATAAAAGTTATTCATTGTTCTGAAACAGTCCAAACTGAAAAGCCATATATTTTCGGGTTGGTTCTTCTGATTCACGATATCTGAAGAATTTCAAGAGCCAACTACCCTAGATGAAATTGCTTATAAAGCATTCAATTTTGGAGGAGTTACATAAGTAAGGTATTATAAATTAATAATTTTAAAATTTAATTCAAATTTCGAGCTAATTTAATCTACGCTAGAACACATCATAAATTTAATGCTAATAATTATATTAATTGATATGTATGTATATTTATTGGTAAAACAATTTTATTAAATATTATCTTTATTTAAGCAACAAAAATAATTTTAAAAGAGATATTAAAATGAATTACTGATTTATATTTAAAGACAAATTTAAAAAAATTAAATTATACACTTTACATTTTTATAGAAAATTTTCTAAGAACATAAACTTGACAAGGAAATTAAATTTCACCTGTAATAAAAGGTAATGATTAAATTAGTTGAGACAGAAATAAACGTGAAATTAAATTTACAAATGGTATATAATTTTATTTTTATTAAGCCCTTAAGGAGTGTTCTCAGACAATTATGTTTGAATAAAAATGAAATTTAGAGGAAATTTAACTAAATTTAATTATTCGAGGTTTTTTTGTAGTAATTAAATCGGCCACGAAGACTATCTGTGCGCTTAAATGTGGAATATGGAGACATAATTCAGAGAATAACAGAATGGCACATAATAGATATTCACTAAAACATAGACAAAACTTAAAAAAAACTAATTTTAGCTAAGACTTTCATATTAAGAAATTTAAAAGAAATGAATAAATTATTAAAAATGCCGAGAGATGTATAAATTAGGGTTCCAAAATGGAACAACGGACCGAAAGATCGAGTTGGGCCTAAAATATTTGCCCTAATAAGACTCGCACGGCTGTCCCGATAAAACAAAGCCCAAAAGTGACTCGAAAACGGCATCCCTAATTCTTGAAATGAGAACCTGTCGAACATGAAAAATTATCTACAAATTCTTCTTTAATTTTTATTTTAAAAAATGGATTGTAGTTTATACATATGTATGTATGTTGTGTTTTTGTTTTTATAGGTAAAATTAGCACACCCTAAGGCGCAGTCCGAAAACAGATTACATAAAATAATTTTAATGAAACAACTTGATAATAAACATACAGTGTGTAACAAAACTATAAGCCACCCAAAATTTTTTAATTTCTTAAGGTTCTAATTGATGAAAATTTTTTAAATTTTTACCCAATATTGAAAATATAATTTCAAGCAAAGATTCAAAAAATTTTTATTAAAAATTTTTACAAAAAATTTTTTTTCGAACTTTTTATGAAATCTAGGTGTAACATAACTATAAGCCACCTTGGAAAAAATTTATTTTTGATATTAGCAATGCTTGAAAAATTTTGCAAAAATTTCTTTGATCATTTCCATCGATATAGTGTAAAAAAAATAAAAAGAACGAAGTCTTTAACTGCTTTCTTCATCGAAATCTAAAATCTCGAAAATCAACGGGAAATCAGGGTACAGTACTTAAAAAAATATTTTAACCCCCTTAGGGCATATATAAAAATTGATTTCCCGTTGATTTTCGAGATTTTAGATTTCGATGAAGAAAGCAGTTAAAGACTTCGTTCTTTTTATTTTTTTACACTATATCGATGGAAATGATCAAAGAAATTTTTGCAAAATTTTTCAGGCATTTCTAATATGAAAAATAGAATTTTTACAAGGTGGCTTATAGTTATGTTACACCAACATTTCATAAAAAGTTCGAAAAAAAATTTTTGAAAAAATTTTCAATTAAAATTTTTTTAAATTTTTGCTTGAAATTACATTTTCAATATTGGGTTAAAATTTAAAAAATTCTCATTCATTAGAACCTTAAGAAATTAAAAAATTTTGGGTGGCTTATAGTTTTGTTACACACTGTAATAAAACCCCCTTCTATGAAAACAAATATATAATTAATTAAATTTAAAATAATGATCACAACGAAATATAAATTAAATTAATTAGTATATGCTTAATTTAGAATATTAAATGTAATATAATTATATTTAATTAATTTTCTTTTGAAACAATTTACATATAAGCATTTAAAAAATTAAATTAAATTTTAAAAATTATTGTTTAATATCTGTTAGAATATTTTATACTCACGGATAAAAAAATTATCAAGTCCTAGGTGTATTCGAAAATCATATTAACAAGATAATAGTTTGAATGTGCGACCACGCCACTTTTAGCACAATCGCACATGCCTCAAAAATTGTCGGAATCGTGGTGCGACAGCTTAAATAATATTTATAACTAGAAAAATGATCCAAACGATAATGAAAATTTTTTAATACTAAGAAGTTTATTTCAAATTCAAGGAAAGTTGTAGCAGCAGAAGTTGGTCTATATTACGGCAGTAATGGAGAAATGATCAACTTGGTAATTGATCAACAAAGAGCGGATCAGCTAGGTTGATCAACCGGATATGACGCAAGTGGCCGATCAAATGGTTGATCACTTTCCGCTGATCCTCTCTCGTCTGATGATACGATAACTGCTTCAGCTGATGACACGATCACTCTCTCGTCTGATGACAATGCTCAAGCTAGAATAATCGCTTACCGATAATAGTGGATTTTTAGGCTATTTTTTGCTTCTTAGTTATTTAAGCATGAATGACGGCACGGATATATTTTTTAGAAAGATAAGCCCTTTTGTATACTGTAGCAAATTTTATGGGCTTTAAGCTAGGTCTAAAGAAAATTTTTAATATATGCCTTAAATGGGTCAAAATATTTTCTTAAGTACTGTAACCCTTATTTCCGTTGATTTTCGAGATTTGAGATCACGATGAAGGAGGCAGTTTTCGACTTGGTTCTATTTCCATTTTGTTTAACTATTGATATTTCGACTATCTTTTAATTTTTTTATTTTTAAAAATTCTTTACTGAATATAATTTATTTTAAAAATAATAAAGAAAATTTTAAAAAGGTTTAAATCATGAATATATCCATAAAAATTCAATCAAAAAATAACAAAATAAATGCTTAATCACGTTAATAAAAATTCAAAAGAGCCTATTTTTAATGAATAAATTTAAAAAAGGAAAACTTTTTTTAAATATTCTGTGATCGTCAAAATATTATTAAAAATATTTTTATAATGCATTAAAATAATAAAAAGTTAGAATATTTAACGAGGTAACTTTTCCTATTTTTGCTTTAGACTATTTAAAAATTTTTATTATTAATAATAATCTTTTTCGCCAGATATTAAAATGTTAGTAATCGTATTTGGACTGATTTTTGTACTCGCCGGCTTCGTGGTAGTCTAATATTTATTGTATTATCTTTACTCTGTATTAATTAGTAGTACAATTAGATAGGGGAAATTTTGGAATACGGTTACAAGTTATGAATATAATATTTTTTAAATATTATAAAATATTAAAAGTGTCTGGAGAGCCAGCAAATCGATTCTTTCGCCAGAGATAAAGTTTATCGCTCATATCTTTCTGAAGAATGCTTAAATCAGATAGGTCTCTGGTAGTCAGATTTAAAACGAACAGAAACCGAAAATTATCCTACCTTTTAATCTGTTCGGTTAGCTAAAAATTTTGGTGAATACTGACAATCAGGTACAGTAATAAAGATGATAATTATGCATTATACGATAAACATGACTAGAGCCTTAATCTAATTAATAATTTTATAAATATTAGAAAAGTTCTGAGGTTGATGGTCTTCCATTAGAGACTGAATCTGCACCAGTCTCTCATCCTTTAACCTCTTCTGAGTTGGAGTAATGATCTTTTAAACTTTGATTAAAATTAATTTAACCAATTTAGACATGAACGACAAAATGCTAAAGGTTCTGAACATAAACTACGTTATTATGCTCCTCGTAATGGAGACACGAAGAGGAAGGGCAGGTCTCCATTTTATTACTGGGATTGTTATGATTGCTGAAATTACACAAATCTAATAATTGAAAGATTAAAAAGATAAAATTTTGATAAATTTATTTAATGTAATTTAAATAAAAATTGCATATCTAAATAAATCATTGCTTTTAGCTAGTCTAATCAGGGGTGGCGCAGGTACGCTTTTGAAAAACGCAACGCAATGACATAATGCAAAACCCAAAAAAATACAAATTTTTAACGATAAAATATTTTCCATTAAGAATCATTATATTGTGATGCAAGATGGCTAAATTACAGCGAGTCTTTTTCGATTTTTGATACAAGGTTTTGATGGAAATTGATTTATATCGATACCCGGGATATCAGTGGTATTTGGAAGTAACAAATTGATCGGGTCTCCAGATGCAGAGCAGGGATGTCTGAGTTAAAATCACTGATATCCTTCCACATATTCTGCAATTTGCCTTAATCCTTCAGATCCGTTGATAAAGTTACACAAAAATAGAAATTATAAAAATTTAAAAAAATTTTTTATTAAAACTATGAAAAAATTATTTAATTAATATTATCTTTCAGATTATTTAAGGAAATTGTTTTGTTCGAATTTTGGCACAAAACGGGGCGATCTCACTAAAATTGTAAAAATAAATAATTTCAAATGTCATAATTACCTAGCTCCACTTTTCGTAAAACAATCACAGACTTCAGCAAATCTATCTTTTAAATTCATTTGTTGTTCACATTTTTCCATTATTTCGCCAAGTCCAAATTCATTAACATAAAGACCGCACCTTGAAATTTAATAATTAATAGTGAACGGCGCCTGACTGAATCCTGCCGGGTTTTCTGGCGTCTGAGTTCCAAATCCGGGGTTTTTTGGATATTACGATTATTTACTGATCAGATTAAGTCTGGTAACAAATCAGGATCCTATTCAATCTTACTGGTAGGCACCTGGGGCTAAATATGTAGAAATTTGCCTGTCCTTCATCATTCGTCTGTCCGCCTGCCCTTCATCATTCTTGCCTTTTGCCACCTTCGTTATTCTTGTATTTACTATTCGGATAGCTGTATTATTCTATTCTTGTGTTATTCTGTTAGTTTCTAGGTTACGGCACTAGACCGGATCCAGCAGGATTTTCAGGAGGACATACATATCGCCTAGGACTTAACACTTTCTCTGCCTTATATTATTACCAAATTTTTGAACTTGTAAAGATCCGTGCTTTTCTTGTTGAAAATGACATTTTAATTTACTAAATATTTCACCTTCTTTGACTAAAGCATAGCAAATTTTTAAGTTTTTTCATTCCACATTCACGTGAGCATTTTTCTATTGAAATTGTGCGTCTCACAAAAGGAAGATCGGTTCCATAAGAAAGCACTTTATTAAAATTAAATTTGGGTATGATTAAAAAATGGTAATTATTTACACTCTAAATGTTGATATTCTCTGTCAGCGATTGGACGAATAAGACGAAGAAATATTGCGTCAAAATCGCGAAATTCGACTTTTTGCTCGTCGCTTGTCCATGCACAACTAAATTATATCAATTTAATTTTTAATTTGTGGTCTAATGTGACAATTATTAGTGTGTTTAAATCTGATCCTTATATTGCTTACGAGACCTAGGGATAAACCCCGAAATAACTAAAAGTCTAGCAAAAGTTTATAAGTCATATTAAACGAATTTATCCATTATACTTTAGTCTAGACAGTAAGGTTGTCTTGATTCGGATACCCGGATCTGAAAAAAGACCGGATATTCGAAAATTTTCGATTTGGATACTGGTTCTGGATATCCGAAGTTTCCACCAAAATATTTCTAATTAGAACCTTATTAGAGAGGTTCTAATTAGAAACATTTTGTAGCACTAACTTAATTCTAAGCCTGTAATTATTTAAAAACAATGTGAGCGCTATTTAACCTCTCATATTTATTTAACTTTGATTTGGACACTATTTTTCCCCTTTTCCCTAACTATTTTGTCGCATGCTACTTAAGAAAAGTAGATTTGATAATTCTAAAGGATTCTATCTTGTTATGATCTAAAGAATCCTCCCGTATAAGGCTCAATTAAAAATCCACATAAATACCTTTGGTTCATACTCGTTTCACTGTGAATACAGCTATAATAACTGTAAAGGATTCTTTTACGCATTGGCATACAATTCGATTCATTTACTTCCTTTAAATTAATTTTTTATTTTTTACACTTAAATTCGAACAGTTTCGAGTCCAGCCCTATCAATACATTCATCAAAGCATTCACCTACATCCTCTTTCATGTTATCAAAACAATTGTATTGCTCTACACATGAACACTTTAAAAATTAAAAAAAATTTTTTAATAAAATTTCTTTTTACCTTTCTGATTTTTTCCAAACCAAAAATAAATTTAAAAATAAAAAGAAAAAATAGTAAGCTAAACATAATAGTTTTTAACATTTTAAATAAATTTACTAAAATTATTTAGGTAAATTAAATTTTTTTCATTTAATCTTTAATTTTAATCTCATTGCATGGATAATTCAACTTGCAACATTTAAAACGCTTAGGTGGGGGGTTACACGATCTAAAAAAGGTAAAAGAGAAAGCATTAGTCGATGCCCCGGTAGCTCAGAGGTAGAGTTCATGTAGGTGGTGAGCGAAAGGTGAGCAATAGTGCCAAGCAATAACTGTCAGTAGGTCGCACGTTGGTATTTCTTCTTAATCCTGCGCGTTCGGTAAACTTTTGCTAAACTCCTTCTTCATACATTGGGTGAGGCAACACAACAACCACCCCAAAATAAAAAAAACCAAATGTTTTAATTTCAACAAATTAATTTTTTTCTACTACACATTTAAAAGGTATTAGTTAGTAAAATATTAAAAAATAATCTACTGATATTTCCTATTTAAAAAATTTTAAATAAAATTACGCGCAACATACAAGTCATAAGGTGTCCCTATTTTGTCCTCTTAATATGTTTACATATCAAAAATTTAAAATAAAATATGTATAACAAATATATAAATAATTCAATTTTTCATAAATTCCTTTACAAATAAAGAAACACAAAATAAAAATTAGAGTAAAATTGCACTTAGAATTATTAAACTTTTTAAATTAAATTAAAAATAAACAAGTTAATTAAAAAATAGATGTTTGACACGTTAATTCAAAAATAAGCGAATTATTTTTAATAAATAAAAATAGAAAATAAATAATAATAATGAAACCAAAATAACAAAAAAGATCAGAAAAAATATAAAGTATGTAATAGATACCGGACTGGGAGTGTCGTATAGAATCGTGATTACGAAAAATTCTCGATCTGTTAACCGAGAATCTGTTAAATCTGTTAGAGATCTGTTAATCGCTCCTTCGTGCCCTTTTTTCTTTTCATTTTGTATCAGAACTATTGTTATTTATCAAAATATTGACTGAAAAATCAGTCATCCAAAAAATTACGTGCAAATAAAAGAATCATCGACTAAGGGCAGCTCTTTTTTAAATAAATATTATGTTAATTATTATTTTCTATATTAATTAATTGGCTGTTTCAAAACCTGAAAATCACAAAAAATCCTCCGCGACTTTTGATTTGGATAAGAGAAGAAAGAGTCTTTCAGGAGAAAATCTGGAACAACAACTTTTGCTAAACCATAATTTGCTTATTTATGACTTTAAGTACGATTGAAAAAATTTTTTGATATAAAAAATAAATTTTTTCTTTTCGTTCCGATTCGAAATAAAAAATTTTTTATTTCAAGCAGCCCTGCTTCAAAGCATATCCGTATACAATATGTGCATTTGCATATTTTGGACCACCCAATTAATTAATATAGAAAATAATAATTAACAAAAAAAGATCTGCCCTTAGTCAAAGATTGTTTTGTCCGCACGTAATTTTTTGGATTGTTGATTTTTCAGTCAAACTTTAATTATGAAAAATAAAAATTTCAAATATTTTATTCCGCCAAAATAAGAATTCAAGATTCAATTTATTTAATTAAACATGTCTTTTACGAAAAACAACCAAAATAGGTGACATAAATCACAAAAACCCCAAAATATGTTACAACTATTTTAGGTTGCAAAACCCCAAAATAGGATTGAATAGGTGATAATAAGTCCGCGGAAAATAACAACGAATTTGAGCTCAATTCATCATAACTATTTTGCAGAAAAAATAGACTATAACCTAAAAATCCGGACCCTAATACTATCTATTATATATCTAAAAAATTGCAGTAAATTTCATATTTATAAAATATTAGTATATTTATTTTTAAATATTAAATTTAAATTATAATTAAAAAATTAAAAAGAAATATTATTTTATTTGAATTATATTTTATTTCAAAAATTTTAATTCTTTTTAACATTTTCCAAACTTTAGGATGTTAAAAAGCTTATGAAACAAAAAAATTAATAAATAGCAAGGTCAATTTATTAGTTTAATGAACAACTGTTGAATTTAGTTAACAATCAAAACTAATCTTTAAATAATAAAATGAGCTAAACTAAACTTTAAAGCCTAAACAAAAATAATTATTTAAATAATTTACTTAATTAATGTCTAATATAAAAAGTTTGTCACATTCCCCACGTCCACAGACTGGAAATTACCAAAATAACCTAAAATTTCGACAAAACCAATTAAAAGCGGAAGAGGAACGGCTAAATAATTTATTATCTTCTATAGGGCATTTATCTGCCTATGGAGATGTTCCAGGTTTTTAATTGATAAAATAGGGAAATATTTTTTATAGTTTATGCATTTTCGACTTTAATAAGTACAGCACCTCCACAAGCTATTGCCGAACATTTACATCAACGATGGTTGGCAGATCAAAATTTTTCTTTGATTGCTCCAAAGATTGTTTACCAAATGAGTGATGTTAGTTTAATTTTTACATTTAGTACACGGGAATTTTGTTCAATAAGGTTATTTGACACTAGAAAATGTATAAACTATATAGCCCGGAACAAAGTAAAAATTAGCTAATAATAACAGTTCACGAGTATAGATATACAGGGTGCCTCAAAAGTCTTTGCCCGCACATTTTTTATCAAAACTTTATTAAAACTTAATCAAATAATATCAAAATATAATCAAAAAATAAAGAATTAAATGGAGAATAAAATAAATCTGGATTTTTCGAAATACTTTGTTTTAGCTTCAAGATAGAGTCATAGAGCAAGACACGTTCAAGGTTAGCGTGAATAAAATCCGTAGCATTGTTTTTGCAAGGCATTATTCTGATTATTGATGTTGCCAGACTGTGCGGCGAAAAGATTATTACATTTTGTAATTTTTTATTAATTAATTAATTACCCAAGAAAAAGGTTAATTACCCAAGAAAAAGTTAAAAGTTAATAACTTATGGAAATCGATAATTCATCTAACATGTCAACACCGCTAACTATTAATGGTATTAACAACAAAAAACTGAAATTACATCAATTATCTAAAAAATTGACTAATTTCTCTGAGCAATTTTCAAAAGATATGCCACCATGGGCGGCAGCAATGTTAGAAATTTGTAATTCAGTAATGGAATTATGTAAGGATATTCTTACAAGTGAACAAGAACAACAACAATCAGAAACGAATCCTAAATCTTTATTTGGAGACCCTTTCTCTGCTAGCAAAAAACATCAAAATTCCTCTTTTAATGATCAATCATATTTTGCCAACATATTAAACAACGCTATTCTTGATGCTGACGAAATTAAATCTAAATCTAAAAGAGTGGTTATTGAACGTGCTCCAGACAACACAGACATCATTAATATAGCTAAAAAAATTGCGGCTGATTGTGGAGTGGCAGAAGATTTGTTGGAAAACGAAATTCATCGTCATCCACGTGAGTCTAAAGATGTTATAAATAAAAAACCAAGAATCGTTAAAATTCCATTCACCAACAAAAAATCTAGGGATAACTTTTTATACAATTTTCGTAAATGTCTTAAGAAAAATCCAGCTTTTCCGCAGTTCATAACTGCAAGACGTGATATGACTCGTAATGAACTAAATATATTGTATAACTTGCGAAAGCAAGCATTTTCTATGAATCAGGCCGAGAACATGTTTAAGTACATAGTTGTCGACCTGTCAATAATTACACTCAAAAATCCACAACCGCTCAGGGCAACCAAAAATAAATAGGGACACGCAGGCAAACCGCAGACAAAAGTAAATAACGGAAATTTTCAATCATATAAATGTTTGTTATTTAATTCTAGATCCCTAGCTAATAAAATACCGGATTTAAATCAATTAATCGAAAATTCTAATCCACAAATTATATTAATCAATGAAACATGGCTCACAACAGAAAATACAATAAACTCCGAACTATCACATAGGGGCAATTATGAGATTATATTAGCTAATAGAATAGGAAAAAGAGGTGGAGGATCGGCAATCTTATTAAAAAATGACATACCATTTAAAATAATTTTTAATGGCTCTAAATTCCAATCAGAGATAATACATATAAAATTATTTCTCAAAAAAGAAATTAACATTATAAACATTTACCGCCCACCAAATAGTTCAATTATTAATACAAAAAAATTATTTAAGTTTCTTTTAAATCTAACTGATCAAAAAACAATATTATGCGGAGATTTTAATATTAGACACATAAATTGGGATTCTAAAGAATTAACCGACAACTATGACAAGATCGCGAATATGTTTTTAGAGTTTATAGGTCAAAATCAATTAAATCAACTTGTTACTGAACCTACTAGAGAAAATTCAATCCTGGACCTGGTACTCACACCTGCTTCCAATTTAGTCAGAAATGTTTATGTTAGGGAGAATTTTTCAACTTCCGATCACAAAATGATAGAGTTTGAGTTATATGATCAGATCAAAGTCTTTAGAAAACCAAAAATTTATGTCAGAGATTTAAGTAAATCCAATTTTAATAAATTGAATCAAGTTATTTTTAAGAATAATTTAGATCTAGGTATATTAACTAAGTTCACTGTAGAAGATAAATATGATTTTCTGACGAAAGAATTGTTATATCTTTATAACAAATATATACCAATGAGAACTTTGAATAAGATAATAAGGAAAACATACCCTAAACGGATTAAGGAATTACACAAAGAAAAACTTAGATTATTCAGAGTCCTTAAAGAAAGAAAACATGATCACGAGTTGAAACTTGAGTATAAAATCGTTTCAAGAAACTTGAAAAAACAATTAAAAATTCACCATAATACTAAGGAAGAAAAAATAATAAATAAAGGTGGAACTTCGATACATAAGTTTATTAGAAACAGACTTACCCAAGATAATAACATACCCTGTTTAATTGATAAAGAAAATAAATTTTACTTTAGTAATGAAGAAAAATGTAATATTTTAGGAAAAGAATTTCAAAAAAACTTCCAAAATAAAAATATTAATCTATCGAATTATAACAGAAATATAATTCCGAAAACAAAAT